TAGCATCTCGCTCAAAAATGACCAAAGAGTTTCTATATTTTTCCTATTTAAAACTTGACTCTTCTGTAGTTACATCGTGTACCAAGACCGACGGAAAATTTAAAGTTGTGATTTTCTAGGCCGATATGGCTAGGAACCATACTCTCATTCCGGCGTAATAATCAAGGAACTTTGCTGCCGTACCATGGGTGCAGCAGGCGCAATGATATTACACAGCGCCTGAAAATAGTCCCCAGCACGCTCCGTGTGCAAGCAGGTGATTGCTTCGTTATTGTGTGTTCACACCAGATGCATCGCGTCACTCGCTCTAGATTACTCGCGGGATTTTTTTCGTGTCACTCGCGCGATCAACCATGTTGGAGATAACTACAATCGCTGTTTTGTACCTGTTGTCAAAAAGTTCCAAATACAATGGAAAGCCAAACACCGACGTGTCTGGGTTAACAGCACCATCCAGAGGAGGATGAATAACGTTAGGATCCTGTATTAATTATCTGGCATGGAGGCATCCTTCAGATCATCAGGATCTTTGATGAACGTTTGTTTCCAGAAGCTTTACTTTCACATTTTATATTATTTTGGCAAAGTGGTGGCTAATTTCTATTAATTCATCTAAACTTATTCATAACTCTCCGACCTGAGTTATTATTATTACTATTACTAATAGTACTATGACAGATCATCTCCTGACCAGACATGAGTCACAGACAGACTCGAAGTGTCCGGATGTTCGTGCTTTAAGCTGCCCAAAACAACAACTGTATGAAACACTGCACACGCCCTTCACTGATGCTCATTTAATTAAATTCACTTTCAAACTGTTTCTGAAACACACAGAGGACGAGTTTAATCGTTTGTCAACCTTTCCACTTAAACGAGGCATTAAATGCACACGCGGCTTTGTTCCGTGGCTGATGCTCGCCTTGAGTTTGATCTGACCGGGGCAAAACAAACATTTCCTCGCCGCGTATTTTAGTCTCCACAGAAAGCCAAGAACCTCTGCTTGGTGTTCACTTTGTTTCTACTGCGCCAAACTATTTTAGCTCTCGAGTTTTGCTCTTAAATGTAGGAGAAGAAAACACAAGCGCGAGCGGACACAGAGCGGACAGGTTGAGTCTATACGGTTCTCATGATTTAAATAAGAGCGCAGCGCAGTTCAACTGCTGCTCATTGCTTAATCTAGAGAGTGTCTGATTTACTGTAAAACTACACAGAGAGAGTAATGGCAGAAACCGCCCCAGCTGCTGCCGCCCCGCCGGCCAAAGCACCCAAGAAGAAGTCTGCAGCTAAAGCCAAGAAAGCAGGTCCAGGTGTTGGTGATCTGATCGTTAAAGCCGTGTCTGCGTCCAAGGAGAGGAGCGGCGTGTCTCTCGCAGCCCTGAAGAAAGCTCTCGCTGCCAGCGGCTACGACGTGGAGAAGAAGAACTCCAAGGCCCCCAAAAAGGCCAAGACTGCAAAACCCAAGACAGCAAAGCCTAAAGCTGCCAAGCCTAAAAAGGCAGCTCCCAAGAAGAAGTAAAAAAACAGTTTTATTTCCCAACGGCTCTTTTCAGAGCCACCCACTAACTCTAAAGAAAGAACAATTTATTTTGTGGAAGTAAGGTTAGGTTAAGAAACATAACTAATTTGTACCACCAGTGTACTTTAAAAACAACACATTAAACGAAACAACATCACAATCCATCAACAACTCATTCACCACCGTTGACAATTTCTTTAATGTTCTTCTTCTTCTTTGGTGTTTATTGGCGGTTGGCAACCTAACTTATTGGTGCATTACAGCCACCGATTTCTTCATTGTTTTCTATCGTGTTGTTTCTTAATGCAGCACAATCAGACCGCCAGCTGTGGGGGCGTGGCTTCGGAGGTCAGTGTTGGAGGGAAGATCAGTGATTGGTTTGAAATCTTACAGACTCTAAACCAATGGGCGACTCGCACGCTCTTTTAAAGACAGTAAAGCGGTGCTCACTGGTTCATTATTTCTGCAATACAAGTACAGAAATTGTTATTTTTGACAAGCTGAACAAACTCCTGGGCCGAGTGACCATCGCTCAGGGCGGCGTGCTGCCCAACATCCAGGCCGTGCTGCTGCCCAAGAAAAGCGAGAAACCCGCCAAAGCCAAGTAAACCGATTCAAGTCTGTTTCTGAAACCCAAAGGCTCTTTTTAGAGCCACCCATTTTATCTCTCACAGAGCTCTTTTCTTTAACTTAATTTCGTCAGTAGCGTACCGTACATACCGCAAGGCCGTTTAAAAAAAAAGTATAATTCGAAATGAAATGTACATAAAGAATAAATGGACATTTGTAACCGCAATAACAGCCGCGAGGCGAGCTGTGGCGGAGCTTATGAATGAGTGGACACATCACATTAACAAAATATGTTCTTTGGATGGTGTCTTTAGTGTATTTGTAATTTTATACAGGTGGTAAGGTAATTTTGTTGATATCGGATTAATGAATAGTTTAGAGCTATGGAATAAAATAACGCGAGCATGAAGCCTAAATTGGTGTGCTATCGTATTTGTGGTGATGCTTGAAGTGCTAAACAAGAACAAAGCAATTTGAGCGGGAAACACAACCAGCTCGGTTTGAAAACAGGAGATGCGCAGTCATTGGCTAGCAGTCAAGCGCAAACGTCACACATCAGCCAATCACAAGCCTCTGCACCTTTATGACGCCATAAGCGGTGGCTGTATGAGGCTTTAAAAGCAGACGCATAACATAGAGCAGCATTTTCTACTTACGCAGAGCAGAGACAGAAATACATCTGAGCAATGGCACGAACCAAGCAGACGGCTCGTAAATCCACCGGAGGTAAAGCCCCGAGGAAACAGCTGGCTACTAAAGCCGCCCGGAAGAGC